ATTTCAAAAGGAAAGAAAACACCAAAGAAAAACAATGATTTACACACACAATAGCAATTTCGAATTGTTTCTTTAAACATTGGCATATGCGTATATACTATATACAGTATATGTGTGCGTGTGTGTTTAGATATCATATAAGGAGAATATTTTTTTTTTTACTAGTGCCAAAGGTTTAGTGTACTATAAACAAAATATATATATATTTTTAGAAAATTAGGGATGTATACATATGGCGTGGATATAGATGATACACAATTTGCATGTTATATCCTTATTATATTTTTTCTTTGAAATCCGAATCACTATATATATACAAAAAAACAATGCACAAAAATATATGAACATGTAATGTACGGTTAAAGGTTAGGGTCAACGACACAACTTTGATGTTGTTAACGCGAAAGTAACTTTAACGGTACGCCGACAGCAACACCCTCCTACCTTCTTCAATCTAACCTCTCCACCACTCTCACTTAGGAACTACTCTAAGGTACCCATTTTAGGCCCTTATTTATAGGTGGATGGGAGGGAAAATGGACGGTCTCAAAAACAAATATTATATTTTTTTTTAATGCATCTATTTGATAAACTAAAGGACATTCATTATCAATATCTTAAATGAGATGCATGGATCAAAAGGGTTACGCTAGCTAGGCGTGACTACCAAGGAAAAACAAAAAAAGTTCTCTTGCTCCTATGGTTCAATATTACGAATTTGATTTCACAGTTTCAGCTGTCGAATTTTAGAAAAAAAATATAAAACCTATATTATTGGGTTCCATATTTTTCACATATCACTTTAATATAATTTGTTTGTCAATAAAATAAGTTAATTTGAATGGTAGAGACCCAACTACTTTTTTTTTTATTCCCTTCTACTTTACTCTGTTGTTTTTCCATCTCTACTAGTAATTAATCATTTAATATTAAATTCCAAATTGATTGTTTCTAATAGTAACATTTTTTTTAAATTTTAACTTTTGTTATTATTATTATTATATTATTATTTTCGAATATATATATTTTTATTACTATTTTTTTTTTGTTTTCATTTCTTTGTACTAAAGAGTTAAAATTTCTAGACCGGTTTTCAGGGCGTTACATTTTCAGCATCGGCGGAGCTTTCGCCTTATATAGTGTGTTTCCCCATCCCTAGTTTCCAATTTTTGAGATGGTTGAGTCCAAAATTGATAGGTGGGCCCGTCGCTACTTCATCATCGAGTTCCCTCTTCATAGCCCCATAGATCTGCCGGGTATAGTACGCCGTGGTTCCCTTTGCCGGACTCCGTTCTCAGCCGCACCCCAGGCGGAGGGAGCGTACAACGCCTTAAAAGAGGAGAGGGGGGACTGATTTCGCATCATTCCCTTCAGGACTCCAAATTATACAAAAAGGCGGATTTTTACTATCCTCTGGGCCTGACCCTTTCCCATTTGAAGGGGTATCCTCCCCTGGGAGGTCGAAGGCTCCTCCCACCGTGGAATCTCATCCGGTCGAAGGCCCTTCTAAGAGCCAGGCTCAAGGTGACACTACTGCCTTGGCAATCTGCACACAATCCGCCGCCCTGGAGGCTGTTCCCATTTCTGCCATTCTTGGGCTAAGGAGGCCCACACCGTCCCAGAAGCGGCCACGGGAAGGGGTCACTGATGATGACTTCCTTCCCAAGAAGAGTAAGGGTGATGGTGCCCCTGCTTCGCCCAGCCCCCTGGCTACTTCTTCTGGTACCCAGACCGCCACTACTGCTGTCGCATCTTGAGAGCTGGAGTTACCCAACCCAGTTAGCTTGGACCGTGAAGCGGATAAATCTCCTGACTAAGCAGAACTCCAAAGAGCAACTGGGCGATCCCAGCCTGTGGTGGAAAACACCTCCCCGCCAACTGCTACTACTCCCCAAGGGATGGAGAAAGAGATTGGGGGACAGAAGGAACCGGAGGAGCAGCATTCCACCGCAGCGCCCCCGACCTTCAATCTCCCCATCCGATGCAGGTTCACGCCGCAAACTTATCCTGTCTTCAAGGAGGGTTGGGCAGGTTTTTCCCGTGGTCTGAACTCCCTGAAGGCCTCCCACTCCACCATCCAATTCAATCTGGAGAAGATGAAGGGATTGGTGCAGGACTCTATAATTCCAGAGGCACGCCCTGACCTGCTTGCCCTTGATGTCCTTCACTCCATGGAGCAGGTACCCTTTTCTTCCTAAATTCTTCTTACTCCTCTTAAGTTATCCCTTTCTTGACTTTCCCTCCGCCTTTCTAGACCCAACAATCACTCCTCACCCTGACTGAGGAGTACCTAGGTGGAGAATGGGGAAATTATCGGGCCATGGTGGTCCTTAAGGATAAGGAGTTGGCCGCTAGAGCTCTGCAGCAAAAAGTTGGTTTCCTCGAGCAGCAAGTCCACGCCCTTCAAGAGGAGAACTCCAGGCTCAAAGCAGATGCCTCAACGGAACTGCTGGCTGAAAGATCCAGGGTTAAGTCCCTGCAAGAGCAGATCGCTACCTACAAGGGAAGTACCCAGGACCTGGAGACACAATTCAACAAACTCCGGGCGCAAATCTCCAATCTAGAGTTGAAAGTCTCTGCCTTGGAGGGCAAAGAGGGGAGCCTAAAAGCCGAACTGGTTGAAAGGGACTCCCAGATCTTTGAATTGGAGAAATCACTCCGTGAGGCCAGGCAAGAGGGTGCCCACTTTAGTGAAGTCATGTTGAAACACCTGGGGTTGAAACGGGATGCCCTCCAGAAGCTAGAGAAGGAGAGAAATATTGTCAAAGAGCTCCGGTTGAAGGTGGGAGAACTGGAGAAGACTGGGGCTTCCCATTAAGAAGAGGTGGTTGCCCTGACCGCCCGTGTCGAGGCCCTCTACGAAGAGGGGAAATTTGACATGCAGCTCTGCATTTACGAGGCGGTCCGGAGTGGTCTCCCGGCTCACCGGTCCTTAGATGATTTCATCACATACTACGGCTTGCCTCTTCCCCTTCCTCCCCCAAACTCTCGTGCTAATCCGGGGCCTTGATTTTCTTCTTCTCCGACAATCATTGTATTTTACTTTGTAATATCTTAATTGTATCGACTTGGTAATGCTTGTAGCATTTTATCCTTTGTCAATATCTCTTTTGTACTTACATTCCAGTAGACTTCTTTATTCGGGCTAATTATTCTCCTTTTGGGATTTTGATCTTGCTTTGGGACTTAGCGAAATCTTTTTCTGCTTTAAGTCTTGGGCTTAACCCACATCTGTATTTGCCCAAATGCTTTCTCCTACCGCGCTAAGTGACTGGCCCACTTTAATTATGTCGGGCCCAATTCACCCAAGCCCATGATGAGCGATGCAACCCTAGCTTTCCTCGGGAATCCGCAACTGTTCCCCAATCGGATAAGTGCTTTGACTCCGCTTCCTTTGCACTCCCTTTTAACGCCGCTCGCCTATTTAATTAGGCAGAACACTTTCATTATCACAACCACTTCTCAACATGGCTAATAATGCCAACAGAGTTGTCTTTATTGATCTGACTATCTCTGATTCTTCTTCCGATTCTTCCTCCTTGGCATTTCCTTCGCTTGGAGCCTCAACACCTTAATTCTCTTCTAGGCCTTCCTCCGCTTCCGAACAATCGATGAATTCTCCCCTGCCCGGGGGGGAGAACCATCCTCGTGTCCCCTGGCAAATATCAGGCGGTATTCTCCCGGATTCCGGCGTGTTCCCTGACGGTACCAAGACGAAAGCCTCCTCTGGTCGGGTTCCTAGAAGAGGCGCAATCGTCACTCAGAAGCTACCCGGTTGGTCTCCGGTGCGAGGCCTTCCTCCCAAGGTTCTCCCTCTCCTTAGCAGTCACATGGACAGAGCCCTGAAGAGTGGGGGGACTATGACATGGGGGGGAATAGACGCCCGTCTACACGGAGGGAAAAAGATGGAACCTTCTAGGATCCACCTCCCCCTTTGGCATAGGCGGAATGATGTTGTAAATCCTCCCTTCATGCTTCATTGTTCTCCTTGCCTTCTTTCATGGGAAAGACTAAAGGGCGTCTACGGGACGTGGTATTCATTCCCACCCGTTGCATCGTTCATTCTGAACCGGGCGGGGTAACAAGGGTCAGCAGATTCGTTCCCCTTGTTGTTAGAATAATAGACCAACGCTAGAGGGGGGGGTGAATAGTGTTTGATCGTAGAAATCGCAGGAACTAAAAAATTTAAAAGAGATGTAAAGAGAAGAGTAAGAGGCACACCAAATTTACCCTGGTTCACCACAACTTGTGGCTAATCCAGCCTCCCGAGAGACTCTCTCGAGCTACACTACTATCTCGTTAAGCTTAACGGTGCTTAACAAACCCTTACAACTTGAGAGTTCGAGTCACATGAACCTCAACGAATCCTTCAAAGGAAACAGCCCTTCCTTTGAATCAACCGAGAGAAATACTTTCTCTCAACGTGTCTAGCAACACAAATACACTCAAGAACGAGACTCTCTTATAGAGTAGATGATGAGTAAACTAAGTACGCTCAAGAACAACTCAACCTTCACACAAAATGGCTCTAAAAAGGTATGGAAAAGAGTGTTGTTTGAATGCAATGAAAATATGAATATTGTGAAGTGAATTGATCAGAAAAGCAGACCCAAACACCCCTTTTTATAGTGCCAAAATAGGCTCCAACGGACCAATGCATTAAAGGGGTGATTGGCTTGATTTATGGGATTGAATAAATTTGGGATCTGCAGGATATTGGCTTCCCATCGATGTTTGGAACTTACCCATCGCTGGTAAGCCAATTTTTCCTTTAGTTTTGAAGCCAACGGTTACCTACCCATCGATGGGTACAAGCTTCCCATCGCTGGGTGGGAGGTTGACTTCCAAACAAGGAAAGAATCAACCTTAAATGACTTCCAATGGTCATGCCTTCCCATCGATGGTTTATCCTTACCATCACTGGGTTCCCATCGATGGGGTAAAGTTCCCATCGCTGGGTAAGGTCGTTCTCCCTTGTGTTGATGTTAGACCAACGCTTTAACAGCGATGGGTAAAACTTCCCATCGTTGTTTGGCATGGTTCTGGAACTTGGTTAGGCTGAAGGACCGCCTACCCATCGATGGGAAATTTTTCCCATCGATGGGTAGGTGGTTAGCCAAAAACCCATGGTGTTTGCCTTAACCACGGCCTAGCCAACTGATGCAAAAACCGATCGAAAAATCCAATGTTCTCCAAAATAAAAACCAAGTGTTTAAAATACCTATTTCATGTATTTGGCTAAGAAATCAAGTGAGACATTTTAAAAGCCACGTCATTTGGGTAAAAACCACGACTAGCCAAGTTTATGCCGTTTTACGTGGTTTTTGCCAAACGACCAAAAAGTAAAAACCAATCATAAAATGTTGAAAACCACTTGGTTGGTTTGGGTGCCAAAAACCAACACCGAAAACCGAATGCCGAACGCCGGTTTCTGAAAGCCGAACGCCGGATGGCTTGGTTTTTGGTTTGGGCGAACACCAAGTGTTTTTATTGTCTTGAAAAAGTTTGAAAAACATTTTTATGATATTATAAATGCAAAAATAGATTTTAGCCTAAAGAGCCAAGGCGTGAGGTTTGGGTCGGTCTTGATCACAATTGTGACCGACTCAACAACACTAAGACTACAGTCTTCGTTCTTGGTCTTCTTTTAGCTCTTGTTATTATCTTCGTTCTTCGCCTTGTATATTCAATGACTTGTCTCGTTCTCGGCGGTTTGGCATTATCAAAACCTGTCATAGAGACGAACACGGCTTTAGTACAAAAACGTGACAAACCCGTGTTTCAACACTTGTCACACTGTCCCCCCCGAACCCTCGAAGAGCCATTTCACTCTGCCTTCATATTTTTCCCGTAGTAGGGTAGAAGTAGATCAGGGACAAAGTTCATTGTTGTAACCCAAAAGAATGTAATTTTCTATTTGAGTTATTTAATGAAAACTTTTATCTCCTGTCTTTTACCATCTTACTGTTAGATCAAAGATAAGGTTCATTGTTGTAACCCAAAAGAATGTAATTCTCTTTATGAGTTATCTAATGAAAACCATTTTCTCCTGCCATTTATTATAATAATACCTTGTGTTTCGTCGTCTGCATGAAGTAGAAGTCTATATTTGTTTGACTCTTTCCATTCAAGGACGACGTTCTTTCCCAGAGTATAGATGGGCCCACTTGAACTGGCACATGCACTTAAATGGCGGAGCCCCAGTCAAACCTTGGGAACCCTCAACCGCTTCATCCGCGAATCACCAAGTCTTCCGTATGGGGAAAGATGGTTTTTTGCTGGCTCATTGCCTTTTGATCTCTTCATTATAACAGACAGAGCCCAGGGTAAGGTTTTCATTGACCTGACCCTTTCTGGAACTTCTTCATCCTCCGATGACGATTTTCTTGTCTCTCCCGCTCAGTCCAATGACATTGCTGGGCTGAGTCCCGGCAAATTCTCAAGACTCTATCCGGCACCCGGTCTTCCTACGCCTTCACCTCCTAGTCCACCCAGGCTTCCGTCTAGGAGGATAGATTGGGACTCTATGACCCTCCAAGAATTCGCCTTGACCAGAGGATGCGCAAGGCTAGACTTGGGCATTCTTTTCAGCCCGCAGAGGCAGAACTTTCGCGTGAAAGCCGGACAGCTTCTCCAACCCTGCCAAGGTCTCCCAGTGACGGTTCACAATCTGCACCACCTGCATCCCGGCCTGGAACGTGGGAAGACTATGACATGGGCGAGGCTGGCGATTCCGCCTGTGTCCTTCGTCGGAGAGAAGGAGCCCGTGGAGAGGGCCCCCACCTCCTTCCAGTTGACTGCATGGGTGCAATTAGCCCTCCTTCAGTGCCTAGCCCCCTGCAGATCAGTTTTCTTTTTCTTGTTTTATCTTAAGAGGTATTCTCTTATTTGGTCCGGGGGTTTCCCGCATCCTAAGTCAAGGAATGTCTTTTGATTCGTTATTTTCTTTGTTTCGTTCATCTCATTGGGAACCATTATTGTGAACCAAAGATGTAGCCTTTGGCCCTTCAATATAGCCCTTTATGTTTATTTCTTTGCACATCATCAAAAGCAAGTACAAATGCTCTTACCTCGTATAAAATCTCATATCCCGGGGTTTGGATATGGCGTGGGGGCTTATTTCATCTTCCCCCTGACCTCCGTTCCTCCGGGTTAAGGCATAATCTTATCTACCTTGGATCAGTTGAGCGCCAACCCTCAAAGTTTGTTTGCTTGGTTGACCCATGCTGGTGGAATACTAAGCTCCAGCCCTCGAAGTCTGCTTGTTGTTCTTCCTGAATTCTGGGTTGTAAAGGCCCTCGAAGTCGGATCCCAACCCTTCCTTCAAATTTCACGGAGGCATAAACTTATATACCTCCGGGGGGCATAAACTTATCTACCTCCCCTATCTTTAGCAGGTAGCATAAACTTTTCTACCTCCCTGTAATGTGGGTTTATATCGCCCATGGGTGTTCTCCCCCCCCCCCCTTTTATTTACAGAACAATGGAATTGCAAAGACACTTGGCTTTCAATGAAAGAAGTTCTTTATTGTTGAAACAAAATGAGAATGCCTTAAACAGAAAGGAAAGTTCTTTACAAAACAATTTTACTGATAAAATTTTACCAAGTGCTCTACCTTCCATGTCCTATCTATTTCTTTTCCCTTTGGAGTCATCAACTTGTAGGTACTTGGGCGAACAACGACCTTGATGTTGTAAGGTCCTTCATACGTTTTGGCCAACTTTCCGCCCTTAGCTGGTTGACTCTTTTCTCGCTTCCTTAGGACGTAATCCTCCACCTGGAACGCCCTTGGTTTCACCCTACTATCAAAGTAAGATTTCACCTGGCGACGGTAATTCTCTGCCCGGATTCGTGCTTCATCTCTTCTTTCCTCTAAGAGATTAAGCTCAACGGCTTGATTCTGTTCGTTCACTTCCGGGGTCATATGTCATTTCCCTCCTAGTTGGGATTATTGTTTCAGCTGGTGCCCGGGCTTCAAACCCATAGGCCAAGCCGAAAGGAGTATCACCCGTGGCCTTTCTTTGAGTGGTCCTGTATGTCCATTGGACTTTGGGTAGTTCATCCACCCACTTGCTTCCTTCCGATAGAAACTTTTTTTTATCCCACTAATAATCGTCCTGTTGACGTTCTCCACCTTACCATTAGCTTGGGGATAGGCTACGGATACCTTCGTATGCTGAATTCCCCAGGTTTTGAGGAAGTCTTGGAATTCCGCTTCTTCAAACTGAGTTCCATTGTCGGATATGATCTGCTTTGGGACCCCAAACCTGCAAAATACTCCCTCCGTCCCTCATAGATCTTCTCAATAGCCCTTTTTCTTTGTCCACAATAGATCTTCTCATTTCATTTTTTAACAACTAAAATACCACAACTACCCCCACTTACTTTATTTATTACACCCCACCCACCTCATTTAATAAACTCCACCCATTTTTCATTAAGGGTATTATTGTAAACTTTTACCTTTTTTCAACTCTCCTAAAAAACCACCAAAAGTCAAAATGATAACATCTTAGGGGGACGAAGGGAGTATATTGGTTCCCACGAAATCGATCATCTGCTTCCCTGTGATCCCAGCAAGTGGCTCAGTCTCTACCCATTTGGTAAAGTAGTCTATGGCTACCACTATTCACCTTCCTTACCATCGCTGGGTTCCCATTGATGGGGTAAAGTTCCCATCGTTGGGTAAGGTCGTTCTGCCTTGTGTTGATGTTGGATCAAGGCTTTAACAGCGATGGGTAAAACTTCCCATCGCTGTTTGGCATGGTTCTGGAACTTGGTTAGGCTGAAGGACCGCCTACCCATCGATGGGAAGTTTTTCCCATCGCTGGGTGGGTGGTTAGCCAAAAACCCATGGTGTTTGCCTTAACCACGGCCTAGCCAACCAATGCAAAAACCAACTAAAAAATCCTAAGTTTTCCAAAATAAAAACCAAGTGTTTAAAACACTTATTTGATGTAACACCCTAATCCGTCCAGGTCTGCAGCCCCTTTCGGACTAAAGTATTAACTTGGTAATCATAGAATTTAAAACATTTCAAACACTTTTATTCATCATAATAATATTTTTCATATCATAAACAGTACGGAGTTTTCAATATTGCGGAAGCTTAACAATCATAATCATAAACATAATTTATTTATGTTCTTTAATTCAAAACCATCACATCCATTCCGACAATCTCGCCTCCGTCTGCCTCCAAGATCATGTTACTTCATTAACCTGCGTGTAGCAAATAAAATATACTACATGCTCAGCGTTGAAGCTGAGTAAGCATATCTAATGCATCGAACATCCATATAAACTGAATCTAAATTCATAATCAAATCATTTGATATCATGCACATAATGTTCAGTTCAGATAATCAATAATTATTAAAAATTATTCATCATGCATTATTCAACATTTATATTCACATTCAATGTTCATCATTCAATATTTATTCATATTCAATATTCAATATTCAATATTCAACATTCAACAATATCCTTAAACTATTCTTAGTCTAAGGCCAATCACTTTAATATTTGTCAACCCTTAAACGAATTCTAGTTTAAATAATTAAACTATATTCCAGTATAAAATATTCCTAAATAATCCTTAAGCTAGGCCTAGTTTAAGATAAAAGGGTTTTGAAAATCTTAAACTTACCTTCACTTAAGGCCAACCAAAAACCGACAGCGTAGTGTTCACTGTTGGGTGGGTGGTACCCCCAAACGAGTAGGTACTCAAGTTTGGTTCCTGGATCCCGTACGTACGTTTTAACCCTAGCCACCGGGGTTCATACCCGCAAGGCCTAACTTAAATAGGTATATCTTAGAGTTCTTCTAGATACCTTTCAAATCAACATTAGTATGGGTATATCTTAGAGGTCTTCTAGATACCCTTGACAATACATATTATTTCCACAATCATCAATATATTCATTATGATTTAATCATTCAAAATTATCATTTTTAATCAGAATATTTATTAAGATTTAATCATCATAATTATCAATCAATAATCATTACCATAATCATCATATCAATCAACATAATATTCAATAACAATTAGCGGCCTAGCTTCGGGTGTTAACACCCTAACTTACCGTCATGCATCACATAACATTTTATTTGTTGAAAATATTACTTTTAATGTGAAAAATCATTTTTATAATGATCATAATCAATTGGTATCAAAAATAGGATTTTAGAGCTCAAAAATAACATTTTCAGACAACTTTTCGGATCAGAATTTCGGGGGATCGATCCACCCCTTTGGATCGATCCATATGTAGAGAGATTATGCCCAGGTGATCGATCCATCCATTTGGATCGATCCAAACAGCCTGGTTTTTGGTTACTGTTCATCATCTTCTTCGTTCGGGTCGAATTTCGAGAATACCGTTTTTAGTTACCGAACTTCAACAAAACTATATAGAGATGTTCTCTAAGGTTCATAGATCATTTTGGCATCATTAATTCATAGTTTTAACATCAATTTAATGGTTTATGATTCTTGGTTCTTCAAGCATGTCAAACACAAAACTCAACCAAACGACCGTTTATGAACGTAGAAACGATCTATACAAACATTCTAGTCATTAGATATATCTACGGGCTTACCTCGAAGCTTATCGAAGGTTTTGAGAATTTTCCGGCGAAACTTCCGGCGAGGATTGTGACTATCTCCGGCGACCTCACACCAATACGACAACACCACTGCGTTCTACACACTCAAAGCTAACTCTCAGAAGCAATTTGGGAAGAAATGGTGAAGAATTGGGTACGAAGAGATGGTCCTTATATAGCCAAGTGAAGGAGGATGAAGACACAGTGATGACCTCTCCTTCGACTGTTTCGGCGGCTGGGTGGAGCGGGCTGCTGTCTTCTCCGATTTTAAACGTAAGTCCCTGATTGGGACTAATTTGGTCCCAGTCGGGGAACA